TCTTTATTTTCACTATATGTGTTTGTCATATGTTTGTTACTAGAGGACTTATTTTATAGATTTGAAGCTAAATAATATTTTTATGTTTTTACTTATGCAAATTAATTAATAAAAAGAACTGTGATTTAAGTATTGTCTTTGCTGTGATATAGATTGAATCTTATTATGTTATGGAATTATCATTTAAATATTCAGATACGTGTAATATTAAGAGCATATGTATGTAAGTTCTTATAAATTTACAGTATTTTTTCCAAGTATAATAAAAAGTAACCATCAACAACAAATAAACTTATAAGTAAATAGTATCTGTAAATTCTGTATGTAAAGGTATTATTTTTATTTTTATTTATTTGTGTGTGTATTATTTTAATATTGTTTATAGCTAAATAAAGAACAAAAAAAAAATTAATGGAATTTTTTTACTCTATTAAATCTATGAATCCCACAGTCATCTGAGCATTGAAGTAATTTTTATAGCATTCTGCACTTCATTCTAAAAGCATTATAATTTAAAGGTGTATATCTTGAATCAGTATTTAAAATCATAAAGTGTTTAGCAGCTTTTTCTGGAAACACACACAAAATAACATTTTTAACAAATTTGCTACAGTAATAGACGTTTGATTCCATGTGAGCAAAATTCAAATAACATATTAAAAATAAAAAACAAAAATTAAAGATTAAACCTTATCCTAAATTAATGGAGGTTGAGGGATTTCCCTCAACCATATTAAGAATGTGGTTGAGGGAAAGCTCTTGTCAAAAAATACATTTTGAGATAAATAACATTATGCGTGTATTTAAAAGAAAAAATTGAAAATTCAATAAAGGAATTCAAAAAGAAAGCATTTTTAACTAAAAATACAAATTTGAAATATGATATGTGAAAATGTTTTAGAAACTTTTAAAATAACTTGAATCATACGAGAAATTTGGCAATTTAAAAAAAAAAAAAAAATACGAGAAAGAATCTGTACTGCAGACAAAAGAAGGGGGAAAAGCCACACATCTTTATAGGAGTGCAGAAAAAAGCTGAAATTCGGATTCTCTAGAATGTTAAATTTTAGCGGACAGCGCTAAAGAGCCAAAGTTGCCGCTCCACACCTAAATTGCAACCCTAAAGCTTAGATTCAAAATGGCTGACGAGTCAGCCTGTATCTCTAGTAGCTCTAGATATATCTAGTTGGCCTTGGCCTACCCAACGACTTCTTATCTCGTTGGGCCTACCCCACTTTTAGAATTTTGACGTCTTGTATAAATCGACTAGTTTCGCCTGGATGGTAATTCTTGAGCAAGCGCTGAAGCTAAGGAGCCTTAGCTGAAGGGCGAGAAGCAACATAAACAGAACTTTGGCTTGCACTTGTAAACAGTGTTAAGTACAAGGAGGTTAGAATAGAAGGAGGGAGGGTTCGCAGTTTCCTCCACTATCGTCGAATGAAACTCCACGGAACAAGCAGCGTCCATGTTTGTTACTTCAAAACATTGCAATACGGCAGTGAAACGTACGTGTTTGTAAGCTGTTCTATGCATGCATTTTCCAGTAAAAATATGTTAAATTTATAATGAAATGCTTCTCTATTGTTAGTTTTTTGTTTTAAAGATATAAAGATGATATTCCGTAATTTACTACGTACAGAAAATCATTAAGAAATAGTTTCGAAATCTAAATGCATGTGCATAACATTAATGGCCTTTAAAAATGATGTTTCTGCATAATTTCAAGAATTTGCTTAGGTTTTATTAGCAGCCTGTCTCGGGTATTATACTTTCCAGTTTTTTCTTTAAGAAGTGATATTTCTGATTTATTCGCAAATTATTATAATTTATTGAAGAATCATTTAAAATATATTTAACCTGAAATTAATAACAGATAATTATCTAAAAATGGTAACATGTTGCTTTTTTTTTTTAAATGAAAGTTTTAAATCGATTCTTTTCACAACCAATAATCAACTTATATCAACAAGAAAATAAATATAATAAAATATAACAGATTTATGTGAATTCAATGATTTTCAGTTTATGCGCGTTTCATATTTATTACCTTGAATTAAGCTGAATTACAGAAATACACCTATATAAATTTTTCGATATATCTTTCCGCACATGTTCAATTGTGTAAATATTTTACTTACTTTTATCGCTATACTGCCCAGAAATTTGTAAGTTTATGCAAAACAATTTTAACAATAGAACAGTTTATCTTGATCAAATGCACAAATTATATTCCGTAACGAGCTCACAAAACTTTAAAATGAATAGTAATTAATACATAAAGAAAAGCATTGCTTTATTTAACACCTTCACAATTCATAAAAATAGTAACAATTGATTTCTTACTTTTCATGAAAATTATAAAACGAATTATCTAAACGTTCAAATTATACAGTTTAAATCCTAGCATATATCATTGTATGTTAAGGAACGAAGATACCAGCTGTAAGCAAAAACATTAAAATGTATTTAACATGTTTCGATTATTATTAAGTCATTTTTGTCACATCTGGAAAGAAAACAACATGAATTGTGATATTTTTTAACATACTTATAAAATTACATAGAAAAAAAGAAAATCAATACTTACGAATGAAGAGTAATCCCAGTAATATTTTTCGGAAATCTATTTGTGCATCCATATGCAATATAAGCTGACAAGCTTCAAAAAGAAAAGGGAAAAAATGTTACAATTTCAGACTTCCTTGCGCAAGTCACAGCGATAACAGTAACATGGCCGTCAAGCTTCACCGTTTAAGTTGAACCTTCCCTCCTTCTATTCTAACCTCCTTGGTTAAGTATAAACTAGCGCATGTGTCGCTAGTTTTTAGGGGCTCTCATGTTGGACGATTAGACACAGGAACTCGACGGTTCTTCCCAGGGGGGGCCCAAGAGCGATGCGTAGTGCAGGGAGAAAATTATGCCACCTGCGCATGACGTCATGTGGGTGACAGTCGTTAGTTCTCGGCGTTTGTTTACATTCGTTGCATTTGATCTGGGATGCATTTGATTTGTGTTGTTAATTTGCTTTTATACCTAGTCGGAAATGGCAAGTTGTGTTATAGCGTTGTGTCAGAATTATAGAAGGAAAACTAAAAGTCAAGGCATCACATACCATCGTTTTCCAAGTCATCGTAAGTTATGGACTATTCGCTGCAAAAGAGCAGATAATTTCAACATCGAAAATGCCAGAATATGTGCTATTCATTTTATCATAATTTTCCTTTTATGAAGTAGACTTATAGCGAGATATTTAATCTCAGTGTCGGTGTTTACCAATAGTGACTACCTGAATGATTAGTTGATAAATTCGCTTATCCAAGTTAATTCACATGTTTTGGTTACTTTCTTTACATCCCAAAAGTAATTCTATGTATTGAAGCAATGTCTGGGTTAAGCATTGAGAACTAAGTAAACTGATACATGCTTCAGAAGAAAGAACAATTTCTCGACCACACTATGATGCAAACATCGATGAGCGAGCAACATATTTCCTTCAGTGTTGTTTAACTGATGCATATGTCTGATGTAATTTAATTGATATAACTAAGTGAACTTACACATAGCTGACTCTGAAGGAAAACAAATCTGTGTATAATGCTAGAATACAAATAGCGAAAGAGTAAGTAGATACTCTTCAGTGTTATTTAACTGCTGCATATATTTTAATTTTGATTCCATATAACTTGTTTTTAATTATAAGAGAAAGAAAAATAATTTAATATTGAAACACATATTTTGAGTATAACAAAAGTATTTTAAGAAACAACCTGATAAAAATACATTAGTAATTAAAAATATTTAATTTGTGTACAGGCTGAATTGAAACTAAGATGTGGTGGTGTATTTAATTATGGCAAAGCACACTAGGGCTATCTGCGTAATAGGTGTGATGCCTTCTTGGAGGACTTTCTCAGGTAAACTGGCTCTCGTATACACATTACACATGAGGAAAACCACGAAAAATGCCCATGCAGCCAGCCCGTTCGCGGGATTCGGACCGAACTACCAGTGTTCAGCGACTTTACCGCTCAGCTGCTGGTGGGCTGAAACTAAGATGTATGGCAAGTTTATTATTATTATTATTATTATGCGTATATGTCTAAGAAAATGTATTTTAATTGTTCCATTTTTAATGTATGGAAGGAAGAATAGGATGCCGATATCGAAGATTATTTACTATAGCAAATAATCACGTCAGGATAAATGTTATATAGAAATCTTGGGAGTGTAAGGGGTTATAAGAGTACTTTTAGATTATACTGAAAAAATATGCACTTCTGCTAAAATCTGAAGTGAATCAGTATGAAGTGACTTTTCACTTTAAAAAGAATGTGATAAGTATACTATTTAAAAGTATAAATGACGGATATTAAGAAATTTGTAGAATTTTATGGTATTTAAATATGAATTTGTTAAGTCAAATCTTTTATATATTTTTTTGCTTGAGATATGTAAATTAAAACTGAAAATCACGATCATATCTTTCTCATGGAATGTCAAAGTTCATTTGTATTAAAAAAAGTGCATGAGCAATGAAAATAAATAGAACAATACTTTTTTATTATGTTTTTACCATGGTCTTAGCAGTTATGCCATCATGTGTTCTGTTCAACAAAATTTATTTAGTGCAAACAATACTACGAAAAAATATTGAAAAATACCTTGTTTTACAATATTTATTTCCCTTAGTTAACTTAAATATCGTTTTTCATTTTCTAAGGCTTCCCTTTACGAAAAGAATTTAATGTTTATAATTATTTTCAGCATTCGTACGAATTCTATGCATAAAATAAACATTTTCTTTAACAAAATACTTAATCGGAAAGTATATACCCGGTATTTCCGGTGTATCTACCACATATAAAATGATCATTTTGCTTTAGTTTACATTTTTTCCATTACCAAAATCATGTAGCAGACGCGTCGGCCGATGCGTCCTGTCTCCCGGGTGACGTCACTACCAGCAACCAATGGCACGCTTTTTCCGTTCCTGGCCTAACCTTAGTATATTAAAGAACCTTGGGTTCTTCCTGATCGCTATCGCATAAGTTTAAAGGAGTAAAATTTGGGTTAGAGTTTCTTCGTATTGAATTGACATTTGCAGTTTGATATGTTGAATGGATAGTTTGCTTAAGGAATAAGTGTAAATTATTTTACCTTCATTATTGCATGGAAATTTAAAGTACAGTAAGCGTTACATTCGTCATTCCATTGTATCTAAATTTCTACGTTTGACTTTGTAAGATCATAACATTTTGTATTATACCGACATGCATTGTATATAAATACTTATGCTTTTGTGTACTTTAGACATTGGTATTTCAGCCTAGTATTACTTAAAAATAAGTATTAGCATATAAATATGAATTGCACTGAGATACCTTTTCATAATCCACGCTTTTCAATGTTGCATGCATGCGAAACTTGTTATCCATTTTGTTGTGTTAGCTAATACTGTTAATCATTGCTCAGGTAACCGCAAAAATCATAACATCGTTATTGTTCTTAAAGTTTACATTATGATGCATGCTTACATGTTAAAGTGTTGCACAAGTGTCTATGATAGATTTACGACCTCAAGTTTTCAAAGCTGAAGGTTTGATTGTTTGAAGAATTGATCTTATTAATTTTCTTCATAAAATATTTTGGTATTACGTATGATATATCTGTAATTTATTATAATTGAATTATTATTATAATGAATGTTGAATTATTATTATAATGAATGTTGAATTATTATTATAATGAATGTTGAATTATTATTATAATGAATGTTAAATTATTATTATAATGAATGTTAAATTATTATTATAATGAATGTTAATTATTATTATAATGATTGTTAGATATAATTGATTAATGTTTGGAAACTGCATTACATAGAATTTTTTGGGAGGGATAGAAGTAAAAACATGCATGATTTATAACAATAGTTTTTAAAATTTCAGGTATAAAATATATCGTCAATGCACTTCTAAAATAAATTATTATTGTTGAAAAATATTGTTTGGTGAATTTCAGTGGTCTATAAAAGGCATGTTTTTTCCTAATGCCGATTCTCCTTTTTTTGGTGCTTATTCTACAAATTTGGTGAACATTTTCATTTTTTGAACTGAAACTTGTTCAGAAATATATCTAAATTAAGCATAATTTACTTTAATTTTCAAATGTTTTAATTAATTATAAAATTTTTAAAATTATTATTTACATAAAGAACTTCATATAATTTCCAAAATTATATGAAGTTCTTTATGTAAATAAGTATTTAAAGTTAGAGGTGCCATATAATTAATTTATTTATATACTTTTTTGAAACTACTTCCTTTAGTACTGTATTTACTTGTGTATTCTCTTCATTTTAATAATAATTTTACTACTTGAAAAAGGGGGTGGAAAATTTGGAGTATGAAGAGATAGCTTAAATGATAAACATAGCACATTAAAAAGCATACATATAAAGATACACAAGTATTATTATATTATGCATTTCAAAAGTCTTAACAATTGTATTAATATTCTTATTATTTACACAAAATAATTTCCTCTTTATGCATAAATTTTACATTATTATCATAAATCAGAAATTTGAAAATAATTTGCTAAGAAAACTGGATGGGCAATGCAAGTAAATATGGTAATCTGTTTACATGGAGTATTGCTTTTCTTGCAGCATTTGGCATATGTTAAAAACAATGACGATGTACGAGTTGATGATATACGATATCGAGTTTGTATGTCAGTATCGAATTATAGAAAGACATTTTACATGTCATAGAAGGGGAATGAGTTCTCTCTGCTTGCATGTGTTGTATCTACATTAATTTTTTTGTATACGGAATTATTTGGGATTTTTTATGTTCAGATTCTAATTAATAGAACATAGTTTCGTATGTTTCAGTAATTAAACATTTGTATATCAGGTGCTGAAGAAGTTCATCCTTTTGTTATAAAAATGCTAATAAAAAGGCTTGGTATTTCTTTGTTAAAGTGTTCATTATATTTAAGGGTAAAAATACATTTACAGATGCCCCTTGGTAAAAATTGGTGAGTTTTGGCAGCACATGGATACCAAGCTTGTGCAATTCTTTGACTTGTTATTTTGACTTTAATTAGCGATGATTTTTATGCCAAAAATTGCTGCTACACAAAGACAAAATGACAAGTCAAAGAATTGCACAAACTCGGTATCCATGTACACATCGACCTGTTTTCACTTAAAAAAACATCAGAGAATTCCATAAGCTGGGCACTGTACACTCGATCTATTTTCACTAAAAAAACATCGAAGAATTGCACAAACTTGGCAGTGCGCACTCCCTTAACTGTCCATTTACACATTGGTCTAATTTCACCTTTGATTTTAAGAAAGTCAAGGAAGCACCCAATTCTACAGTGGAGTCAAACAAAAAATGCATAATCTCAATAAACTACATTTTAAATCAAACAATAAAATAACATAAAAAATCAAATTCATCTTATGCATCTAAGCACTTTCTGCATCTTCAGGCTGTGAAACACAAAATTCCGGTTGAAATTTGCTGTACGGTTCCGCTTGGTTTCTGTCTGAAAAAAATCGCCATGTGGTATTTATTGTTCGTGAAATCTGAAAGCCCGCTGCGTGAAGTAGGTTTTTTGGTAACCCTAATGTTGGCGAAACTAGTTTTGGGGGAAATTGTGAATATTGCCAAATTTGTTGTGATGAGATTTTGGCTATTTTTTGTAATAGTAATCCTTTCTTATAGACTAAAGATTTTGAATTGTTGCATTTGGTTGCACGTGCATGATGTTTTATGAAAGTTTGCTTATTGTTATAAATGAGTATATTATTCGAGATACGACTATAATTTTTGACTGGAAGAAGTACATAGAAGGAACAAATTTGTTTTTTTGGATCTGTTATACGCTATTAACAACGAATGAGCCGAAACGACCAGATATTTAATTACTTACAACGAATGAGCCGAAACGACCAGATATTTAATTACTTATGTGGACGAGATGTTGGTGGAAGGCTTTAATGTATGCACATGAAGAAAAGGTATGTTAAAGAATTGACGTTTTATTTATTTATTGGTGTCTGTGTGTTAATTTTTATTGAAAGATTTGTTGTTTAATGTTTATATGTTGGGAAATATATATTTTTGGTTATTTATTCCTTTGTGTTTGTGTATTTTTGGTTGTTTGTTCATGTCTGTGTGTTAAGACAGCTGCAAATTTTTTCTGGTCAACATGATAGTTTTAACTTTATTTTAGCTTTCTGATTTTGTTTAAGTGAAAATAGATTGATGTGTAAATGAAGAAAGTGAAATTAGTGCACAATGCCTAGTTTGTGAAATTCTCTGATGTTTTTTTAAAATTAAAATAGGCAGATCTGTACATGGACACAGAGTTTGTGTAAGTATTTGTGATTTTCTGTAGGGGGTGGAAGGATCAACAACATCTTGAAATTGGTGCCAATGTTGGCATAAAAAAAATCAATGCTTTGCCAAGCGGAACCATAGAGTAAAGCCTAACCAAAATTTCTTAATAGCATCCAAAAACTTCCTAAAATTATCTGAACTAGAATCCGTATATTAGCATTGCCACATAAATTCACAAAAATGAGTAAAAAATATCTTCCGACGTCCAACCATACGCATTTCCTTCCTACAAAGGGGACACTTAGAATGGCTACTAAGTAAACCTTCATTTACACACCCGTCAATTAATGCTCTTTTCCCTTTTGTTCCAAATTGTACAGAAACTTCAAATTAATCTTACCACATTCAGCCATTCTACCATCTAAACCACAAAACAAGCAACGTACTTCCTAATTAACACACACCACAAGCCCTTACAAATCTCGTTTCCCATCATTCAAAATTTACCATAATCACGCAACCATTTACGTCATAATGGGGTTTCTATAACATTCAACTACTCCACGATAATACAAGGGGCACCCTTCAATCTACTCTAACCTATTTAAGCAAACTTAAATCAACAAGTCTGTAATGTGCAGATTTCACGTCTTCGAAGGCTTAATGGTAGTCACTTTAACAAGAGAGCAACAAATTGTTTTATTTGTTGACTTCTGTTTGCTCCTGTAACACCTTATAGCATTGTTTATATATATATATATATGTGTGTGTGTGTGTGTGTGTATAGGTACACATAGTTAAATATTTTGCTGCATTGCAGCAATATCTATATTTAATGTTTTTTGAAGAGTATTCTAGTAAAATTTCCTAGTGCAAAATTTTGTTTTCGCCAGTTTACTCAAATCAAATAAATGTTGCAAGATCTTAAAATTACTCTAACCATTATGTTTAAATTATTATTGTTTGTATATTTAAAATAAAAAGTAAGGAATATTTAAGTATTTAACATATATTAGGAAAAACATGTTAAATAATAATATTACTTTCAATTAATACAGAAATTAATTTATTAAAACTTTAATAGTTATACAAAATAGATTAAGTTGAAAATAATTGGATTTACTATTTAAAAAAATTGTAATTTAACAGGATTGCCATGCTACCTGGAAAACCGTAAAAAGTCAGAGAATTTGTAAATTGACCAAAAAATTCAAGTAAAAGTCAGGGAATTTCATATGGATATTCCCCCCAAAAAAGTGAGTTTTGGAACCGACGTTGGAACCGATCACTTTCTAGGCGAATTATGTATCGCATGAGCATCATTCGGTCAGCTGGCTAAGAGCCAAATTTTTGCTGGCTTCCCCATCAGACTGTCTTGAGAGAAAGGGAAAGCAAGTTTCCATCTTGAGAGAAAGGCAAAGCAAGTTTCCAGCAGCTTTTGGTTTCCAGTAACCTCGAGTATCGAGAGACTCCTATGCACATATGCAGTGCATGTTGAACTAAAGAAAATATGTATGCTCATATAAAATAAAATCGGTTTAATCCTAGTATAGGGCAACATGGAGGTTAGAATAGCCACGGAATTTGGGGATATTATGATGAGCAGTAAACGGGTCATTTTGGTGTTGGCGACAATTTTCAAAATCATGCCAAGGCCGTAGCGTATACTAGGATTTTACCGCAAAATCTTTTTAACCCTCCCTTTTTTTTAATAAATGCCTTAATTTGTCATTTTGCAGTAAAATAAAAAAAAAAAATAGTAATATGTCAACCTAGGCTAACCATTTAATGTAACTATATTCGCTAAAATGCCGTTGATTATTCTAATTCAATTTTTAAAGTAATTATCTTTATTTTAATATTATTTGTTATTTGTATCGTTTAATGTTGCTTCTTACTCTCTTAAATTTATTTATTATTTATTAGTAAATAAAACCTTCAAATTTCAGGAATGTTTCTCTGCATAATCCTGACATTAATTCTAGCAGTATGATGACATACCATCATGAAATTTAATGCATATATGTTTTGCTTATGCATGCTGTTAAATAAATATAAAATACCTGAATTTATTTTAAAATATCATTAAATAGATTTTCCTTTCGTTTAGCTGAAAAATGTCTGCAAAAAAGACATTTTTTAATCCAGATTGGGCAGATTCTAATCTGATTCTTCAGTGGATAAAACAACTATTATAGTTATAATAGTAATGCTTTGGAGATTATATAAGTCATATGTGATATATATATATATATATATATATAAGTCATATGTAATTGGCAATTTTTGGGTTTTCAAGTGGTACCATAATTAATTTACCTCTTAGCACAGCCAATGTGCTTTACGCAGATAGACTGGAATTTTCTTAAAACACACCTGGAAAACCTGGAAGAGTCAGGGAATTTCATTTTCCTATTTGAGTGCCAACTCTGATTTAAGCATTTGTACAGTATTTTGTCATACATAAAATGTATTAAAATTTTTTTGTTTTGTGCATATGACTAAAAAAATAAAAATAAATAAATAATTTAGCTGTTGTAAATCTTTGAATGTCCTGAAAAATGTGTCGAAATAGTCTTCTACTACGCCAGTTTTCTAACTGCTTACTAAATTTTTCTTACAGTTGCATTGCATTGCTGGCGGCGGCTGGAAGAAGGTGCTGCTTGCTTTTACCGCTGCCTGGCGTCTTCTAAAGAAAATCTTTTTGCGTTTCTGTTTGCAGAATCATCGGTATGTCTGAAGGTAACATGCTTGGTGAAACAGATAAGGTTTCTTTAAATGGAGATGATAATGATTCAAAAGAAAGCGTTTGCAGAGATTTCTTGCGCAATGTTTGCAAACGAGGCAAATTTTGTAGGTTTAAACATCCAGAAGGCGATGAAGCAGAAGCTTTAGGTAAAAAAGAAATTGTATTTTGCCATGATTTCCAGAACAAAGAATGCAGGCGACCCAATTGCAAATTTATGCATTGCACCAAACAAGAAGAAGAGATATTTCGTTCAACTGGACGCTTACCAGCTGCAGTTCTGGAAAGTAAGGCCAACAAAATCCGTATGCAGAATGCAAAAATACCTATTTGTAAAGATTATTTGAAAGGCGAATGCAGACGTGCAGGTCGATGCAAATTTAGACACTTGTCTGCATTTGAATTGCAGATAGAGAGCAATAATCAGAATAATAATCACCTGAGACGAGATCGATTTGATAATAGTGATCAATATGATACCTTTATTGGTTATGAGCCACAGGCTAAGCGTCGTGCTTACGAAAATTCTTTTTCAGACGGTACCTTTCCTTTAGGTGAACGCCGACCAATGATGTCTCAACACTATCGCATGTTAGAAGAAGAGAATGCTATGCTGTTACATAAAATTGAAGAACTGAAGAAACAGGTTGTGGATTTGACTGCTACTAACGAATTTCTACTTGATCAAAATGCTCAACTGAGAGTGAGCAAACAGACACTTGTTTCCCCAATATCACAGCAGCTAATACCCCATACTCTTACTCCTACCATGCCATCACTTCCAGCACCATCTATTACTCAGTTATCCCAAATACCATTAAGCAGTGATCTTGGTGCTGCATCTCTTACTCCTGATCTTACTCTTGGGCAGGGTATTGCCCCAGTTTCAATTGCCCCTTCACAAGTGACACTTCCCACAATCTCTGCTGCATCTCTTTCCCAAAGTTTGCCACAAACTATCATAACATCCACAGCACTTATATCTTATCCTATCATGACTCAGAGCATGAGACCTGTGATTCCTCACAGCTTGGGTTAAATTCTTTTCGATAAAATATATAAGTGGTTTATCTTCAGATCATTAATTTTAACGAAATATAATTTGAATATCTTAACTCCTCATAACCTTCGTTTATTCCTTCATTAGAATTTTCCTACTTACTTACATTTAATTTGAATTTTTTTTTTTTTTCTAGCTGATCATGAAATACAAAAGCATTACATTTGTAGGAATGGCCATTTTAAATTTATGTGTACTAAATGCTGGTGTAATTAAATTAAATTCTTTTCCTTTGAATGCTTAATATAATAGTTATTTCAAGGTTGTGCTACATTTAACTATATTTCTCTCAAGTGTAATATTAACTTAATGATATTACTTATTAAATTTATTCGGTACTTTTCCGTTTCGCCGGCGCAAATCTCGCCAAGCAGACTGTATTGGCGACAACATACAGTATGCACATAAAAAATATTAAAAAAGAATGTTAGTTCTAAGAATTCTTTTTTTGAAGGCATAAACATTTTAATATCGCTTACAATTTTATAAAAAGCCAATAAATGAAGGCAATAAATTTGCAAAAAGACATTAAATTAAGAATTTACTATGGTTCAACATCCTGATTCGCCGGTTCATATCACGTGACCCCAAGCGATCTCATCTCATGTAAACTACTCTACAAAAATCTAATGCTCTCAGTAATTATCTACATTAATTTGAAGTTAAATCTTAATTTGGAACACAAGTTTAAATGCAAGAAATAATTCAGTTCGTACAAATAACTTACTCAGAAATTATGTAAAAATGCAGTACTTTACTTCGCTAATGCATTCTCATTAGAGTCGAGGAATTTAACCTTTGACTTTACCTTTTCTATATTTTCGGCTTCGGGCAAGCGCTGTGATTGCATCCATCCTAACTGACTTAATTACCGAAAAATGGCCTTAGACATAAAACTGAACTATCTGATAAAAATTCTATGTAATTATATGCCAGTAATGAAAGAAACAATCAATGTGATAAGAAAAAGCTGCGACTTGTTTTGAAAATGAGCCGTAAAAGGTTACCAGCCAGAATATTCCGTTTGGCATCGGTTGTACCATTGTTGGCGACTTTATCGCTTGCGCCGGCAAAACGGAAAAGTACCATTTATTCTTATGAGAAAAGGGAAACAATAAATATTTAATATTTATTATTATTAAAAAAAACTTTGTTATAGTGGGTTCTTTTAAAAATCAATATCTTATTGTAAATTCTAGTAGATTTGTCATGCAGTGATGCAATACTAAAATATTTTACAAAAATGTCAAATAAAGAAACATATTTGAATGTATAGAATTTTAGCATATTTTACTAAACGTGTAAACTTTGTTTTTATGATTCTGTTTGTCCTGATGTAAAATGACATCGTAAATAAATGCTCGAATTTAAATGTTATTTATTTTTTGTATATTCCTTAAAAAGGAAGTACAAATATGTATTTGGCCAGCCTTGTTTAAACCATTTAATTTTATGTCATTAGATGCCACAACTGATCATATTTCAAATGTTAAAAAATGTGAAGAGTAGTTTAATAGTAATCAAATTAGATATATTAGGTAAAGACATATTGTAACTTTACTTATAATTATAGATACATTTCTTTAGAGAATATATAATTATTAATACAAACTATCAGTATGTGCATGCGAAAGCATATATTTTTAAGTTTATTTAAGAATTACAATTATTACTCCACATTTTGAGTGCAGTATGATTTAAAGTATTGGCTCGTATAATTTGTATTTTAAAAGTTAAAAAAAAAAAAAAAATCCCCATTTTTTTTTAAATAAGTTTGTATAGTTATTGTTTTTATTTAGTATGGGAAATATATTACAAAATTACCTGAAGTGTTTATTTTTGATTAATAAATATGAGTATTTATTTAAACTTTTCATTAATAATTATTTATTACACGTGATTGCTAAATGGGATTAAAAAATTTGAAGAGAAGATATGTATAAAATTCATCTTATTTTATTTATTTTCTGTAGAAGCCTGTTAAGTCGATATCATATGATTAAAAACATAAACTTGCAAATTATTAACTATATGTACCAAATAAACACTTCTTTAAATTTTTTAATAACCATTTTACATACTTAACTGCCAATTCTGTGGGTTTTAATGGGGAACTCCTGGCTTTTCATCACATCAGGTCTTCCGCTAGATCGCCAGATCTGGTTTTTAATTTTTAGCCTCTGCTAATGAAAGTGTTTTCCAGCAGTAAGTAAAATTTATTGAATTAATGAAACTTAAATTATTCATATTTCAATCGCACACTTCTAGAGTTTTTCAGTATAATTTTCCTTTTTAAATTTTTATTTGAATTGCCTTAATCTATTGTAGACATCTGAAGAATTTTATACAGGGTGCGACAGCCTTCATAGTAAAATATTAGAGATACACCATAAGGTAGTAACTATAATTTATTTATTACCTCTTATGTCAATTAACAGTTAAAGGTATGCCTCTTACTAATGCATAAGTCATTGCCCATTGTGTGGATTATTTTTTGAATGTGATGCCTCCTCTGCACAACACATTCATCTAGGTGGCGTTGGAAGCTTGTCATAACTCTGTGTAACATATTCCCTGGGACACTGCCGACGGCAGATCTGATGCGAGCCTTCAACTCTGGAATGATGGCACAACGTGTTTGGAAAACTTCTTGCTTCAGGTCGTCCTAAAGGAAAGAGTCTGCACATGAAAGATCAGGTAAGCAAGGTGGCTAGGAAATGTTACCAAAACGGGAAATTACTCTACCTGGAAATGTCTGGAATCCGTCCATCTGGAACTTTCCCATGATGTCCCAAGTTGAAATGTTGCCAAAATAGACACTGGGTAGCAATAACAGAGTAGCTATTCTTGAAATAACTTTCAACAGCAAAGGCACGATGCTGTGCACTCCACCAATCCATAACATCATCACACTCGAAATGGCAGCTCATTAGTACACGAATGCGGCATGAGCTGGCGTGCATTCATGCAGTACATCATTGTACTAAGCAAGTCAAATTACGCTATGAACGCAGCCGCACTCTGTATGAAGATTCAGCTAATGTTTAGTCAGTAAATATTTGTGTTTAATTTTGTTTTGTCAATTGGCATCAGTATATGGCACATAACTAAGTTTATCCACACAATAATATGTATATGAATTATTAATTTTATTTTTGTTGTGTTTCGGACTTTGTTAAATTAAAGCCTTCCTTTCCTATTCAGGATTTCTTCAGCATAAAAATGTGAGAAAGTTACAAAATGAGGTTAGGCAAAGATCATTTATAATCTGTAATTAAATATTAATAAATTTTACATTAGAATCATATTATAAATAGTTAAATAATCTGAATCGTGTTATAAAGCAAATTTAAGGCAATTTGGAGTTCATGTGAAATGGGCCCCCCCTGTAAAAATCTCCCATAAACTCCTAGTTTTTCATATTTCAAGTTTGGCAGGTATGTATATATATCATTTCCACTCATGAAGTGAAGAAAAAGTACATGTTATAAAATTTTTAATTTCTAAAAATTGCTATGATACCCTTTCATTTAAAATTAAAAACATAATTTTAAATATTAGAATTTCAACCCCAAAGAAAAATTGTAAATGAGCTGGGATTAAATTTTAATAGCTATAGATCATTAATTATGGCTGTTAATTAAGTGATTAGTAATATGATTTATTATTAATAATTATGTAATGAGAAAGTTTACTAGGCATAATTTTAAATTAGAGCCTATTAGAAGCTTTAAATATTTTCTGATTATTTACATCCCTGTGAAAGACAGCACGCTGTGTCGCCAAAATGCATTTATATGGCTACCCAGGCCTGTAGTAGATTACTGCAGATTCCCCTTCAAATTAAACTGTTTTTATTTTTGTTGCATTGAGCATTTTTTTTCTTGTAAGGAATACAGTACAAAGTCTTTAATCCAGAATGATCAATAATCCGGACCTCAAAGCTACAAACTTTCTACACATGCGTAGCGTTTACGCATGCGCGTTTAATGTATAACGGACGGTATAAGCTAGGCTAAAATTATCTAATTATCTATCTCAGTTAATGTTGCAGATTGCGTTGTTCCTTAATCTTCTAATTAGATCAGGCATATTATTTTTTGCAGGCTGTTAGAACAATTTTATAAAAAGTAAGCTTGAACTTTCGATTAAGTCAAAAAGACTTTCCGATTCTGGAGGGATCTACAAAGCGAAAGCATGTTTCGATGTCCATCAAACAAAAAGTGGAATTGCTGCAAAAAGTGGATACAGGCATGACGAAAGTGACAGAGAGGTTAGTGAAAACGAAAAAATTTCGATTGACAAGTTAGTCGGTATTCTCGGCACAGCAATTATAGGACTTGAACAGCGGAACTTTGTAACTGAACAAGAAATTATGTCTGTTTATAGAATTAAAGAGAAAATATTAGCACATGAAACGAAGCAACTTAAACAACTTACATTGAAAGAAATGTTTAATAGTAAACAAATAAATATTAAGCCTTTTTTTTTTTTTTTTGTAAATTTTGATGCCCTTTAGATCATAATTGTTCTTTATTTCATAAATTACGGTTTCATATTTAAATTTTATAATTTCTGCTTGCCATCTTACCAGATTTAAATTGATGATCTATAATCCGGAAAAACCCCTAGTCCGGAATCACCAAAATCCTGACGAGTCCGGATTAAAGACTTGGTACTGTAGTAGTGAGACTGTGGAGTCTACTGGCTGATGAAAAAGAAAGCATTCAATTTCTTCAGAAATGTGCTGTAATGTTTAGCAGTAGAGAATGTAAAAATTCTCATTCCATGAAATTGCATTTTATAAATATTCGAATTTTGTAAATCAAAATTTGTGCACTGATGTGGAAATTTTCTTAACTCTATGATTTTTTTTTTTTAAAGTAAAAACAGATTGCTGTATATATGGGAAAACAACAGCATGCACAATGCCAAATTTGTGCAGTTCTGTGATGTTCTTTGAATTTAAAACGTATCACAAACAACAGCATGTTCAGTGCCAAATTTGCGCAGTTCTTTGATGTTTTCATAGATGAAAACAGATTGCTGTGTTTGTAGAAAAAAAAATAATAGTAATAATTACACAAAGATTTCCTCAGAAGGATCAGTTTTTGTTCTGGTATATTTCTTGCTTTTTAAATTTTATTGATTCACTACTGTTTGATGGAATTCATACTGCCATTTTCAAAATTGCTGTAGCGTTTTGCATATTAGCTTCCTAAAAAATCAGTTGCCAACTAGTTAGTGACTTTGGGGGGGGGGGTGAGATAATCAGAAAGTAGCGTTGATTTCTAATCATATTAATAATAAAAAAAAAATCTTAAATGAATTCTTTTTATAGCCATGCTGTGTTGTACAGGTAATTCATTGCATCCAGGCTCTAATCTAGATCTATGCTGAGAACAGAGCAAGTGAGTCATTTACTGCAGTAAAAGTGAG